ACTGTCGGATAAAAAAACCTCCCATTGATCATCTTCGTCTCACAAGGTGGGTTTTGATTGATTCCAATGTTGCTGTAACAACGAAGAAAATATGGTCCTGCCAATGCCGGCGCTGACACGAGTGCCCGAGATTGCGCATTCAAGTGGACTCTGCTCTGCTCAAATAAAACAAGTCACGTTCCCTTCAGTTCAGTTGGTGAGAGGGCATTAGCGTGCAATTTGTCATCTTCCTGCCTTTCCTCCCCCGTTCGCAAGAGTGAAGAAGAAACTCCTTTTTTTCCTAAAAATCCGCCTTTGTAGAGCTTGTGGGAGTGTAGGGGGCGTGGGGTCTGCGATTCCTATCATTGGCCTTCAAAGAGGTGCAAGTGAGTTTCGTCTCAATTATTCTGCGTTCATTTAAACCCACTACTCAAGTGGAGCGTTTTTTTGAAAAACACCTTAAACTTTTTTAAGACAAGCCAAATTGGTAGATCAGGCCTCCCTTCCGTTCTGATTCACACCAAAAACCGTAAATCATTACAAAAGAGAATTACTGTTTCCGTCATTTAGCCATTGTCAGTATCAAGTGGCGAGAGTCAATTTCTCTCTTTGCGCCATTCGCACCATGCCTTAGTTTAGTGTGAGTCCTACGGAGATTGTGCTTATCTCGCACAATTTTGCTCATGTAAATTGACTTAACAAGAAACAAGGTGATTCTGCTCTAAATCATAACAGTTGTCTTCAGGTAAATAATGTTGGTTGCATAAAGAATAGCAGGAATTTTCTAGAAAAATACATTTAATTTCGGCTTATCCAGCTGCTGATTATCCACCCCACTTTTGACAGAATAAAATTTTGACTACCGTAAAAGTATCTTAAAAAACCAAGTCGTTCGTGCAATGGAAAGTGTGCTTAAAGGAGAAGAATGGAACATGACAGCAGTGTAGTGGGAAAAGCTTTTTATCACGTGGTGCGTTTGCCTAACTATAAGATTACCATAGCGGCCGAATAAAAGGGTCATTGAGGATAAAAACACGGAGAACTTAAAGTTACACTTAAAAATTACCCTTTTCAATGGTCCTTTGAAATGGCACCTAGTTTGTAATCTATTTGTGCAAGTTCCAACTTCAAGTCAAATAAGTTGAAATGGTTTATGCGCCCAGACGGCCGCCAAATCTGCCTTTCGCTAATAGCACACAAAATGTTGATGTCCCCACTATGCAGACGATCTCATGAGTTATTTTTTTACTACTGCGGTTACAGGAATCTTTTCGTCATAATTTTTTCCTCATCAGAAATAGTCGAGGTTTTAATTGAAATTAGTTACTCTTCTTCCTTTTTTCGGGCTGTTCGCGCTCCTGCAATGCATCCATTAGCATGCATGACCGAGAGTCTACCATAATGTCAAAATGAAGCTTAACTAACCACAAATGAAGGTGAGGACAGAGTCATCCCGACGACAACGGTGCCTTGGTCTGACAGGACTGAGTTCTGCAGAAATAGATTGCGTTACTTATGCAAGCACTTATAAGTAAATCAACCTGTTAAACTTCTTTTTTTCTCATTTTCGCCAATCCATTCTAATCTCGGCCTGAATATCCCCACCTCAAACAAGCTGGAAATTCACCCTTAAGATGAGCACCCCAAAACACGGAGTTGTCTTTCCTTACCTCTGAACAAAAAAAAGAAAGAAAACAATTGATTGAAACAGCAGAAGAATACAAAAATTTCACTCTGATTTCCTTATCAGTTGTGCCCTTTGGTGTACAACCAGACGATTATGCATTGAAAAGGCAAGTTTTATTTTGACCATACATTTAGCAGTTTTAGATGGCCTCCCATTAAAAACACGTGCTCCTCTTGACGCATATACAACCACGTGCTATCCTTCGAAGGCTAGAACAATTGTAAAGAGTTAAAATTTAACGGGGTTGAGAAGAGAAAAGGTGCCAATCGACATCCGTAGGGGGAGGAACGGGAAAATCTTTTGAAAAATCTGTAAAATGACACTCGTTTTTTATTTTGCCTAACTTAAAAGATTTAAGTATTAAAAAGTCCACTGAGGGAAAGTAACATTATAGTGATAAACTGGGCACCTTTTCAGCCGTTTACCATCATTTGTAATGATTTTAGATGATAAACGGTATATGCATTCTACGGCAGTTGCAAAAGAAAATAATCCAAAGACACGCATGGTAAAAACATTTCAATGCCCTGCATTGTGCATTGGTAGATTAAGAGCTTACGTTTTGGAGGAGGAGGAGGAGGTGAGGATGAGGAAAATGAGGATTCAGCCACATTTCTTATCCTTTTCCCACTAACTTTCTATGCTGTTTAATGCTTACAGATGCCGTATCTGGTTTATAAAGCTCTGGCCTTTCCTCTCGTGCTTTTATTATGGCTTTTTCTATATTTGTATACAGGACAACGCCCACAATGTCACAAATCAACCAGTCTCGGGAATTTCATTCAAGACTTTCTTATCAACTGATTGACGTTGGACTAAACGTTTTTAACTATTCTGTAGCACATCCTCTATCTCACAAGTAATTGTACTACCAACTTGGTATAACCTCTTTTAAATGGAAGACTCTTGCCTTTTTCGGCATGCATTGCGTAAGTACTGGTGTGAAAGAAGGGAATACGCCTATTACGCAAAGCAATAGCGCCCACTTTCATGTTTTAAGATTGCTGCATTCTTTCTTCCTTTTTCTAAACTGCTTACAAATACAATTTTTGCGTAATAGCGAACTGAAGAGATGTTTTAGTCAAAAATAAGTGTCTAAATTGTTCAAAAAGATCACATTTTTACTAAGTCATTTCAAAACAGTGCATCAAGGCTGTCTCTACTGGCGTTTGCCACTTTTTCTGGGATTGTATGCACAAATAAAAAATATTTCCTGATATAAATGGTTGGCTGCCCTTTTTATCAAAGAATACGATTTCTTAACTGCCAAAGTTTGTTCCATCTCCTTCATCTCTAGAGGAGTTGCTGTCAGTTTTGTATCAGAGAGGGAGAAAAAATTGGTAGCATGAATGGCTGTATTGTAATGGGATTTGGTATAAAAAGGACTCCATCAAAGTGAAAAAGAGGCTGCAGCCTTTATGCCTATTTCTACTTAAGAATGTGCCAAAACACAGGGATTTGAATGCTGAACAAAAAATACTCTTTTGGAGGAGATAGAAAAATTATTTGTGCTCTCCAAATAGAAATGAAGTCAATTTTACTAGGCCTTTTAGGAGAAGTCTGCCTGGAACAATTCAAGCAAAAAATTTCTAACCAATGCGCTGAATGACGAGGAAATATTTGTGTAACAACTTTTGCACTTAAGTGATAGGCCCGTAAGCCAGTTTGTCAGAGTGGGGTTGGGGATTACTAGAGGCTACGGCTGCTTGAAGTTGAACGAATGTGTGCATCTCACGCAAGTAGTCGGTAGTTTACATCCAATCCAATTTATTGAAACGTCCTACCCTGAATCCTCGAACGAGGCTGCCCCAACAACTGCATTCCTATGGGATGAGCACCCCGTTTGTTGTTGAGTAGCATAAACTCACCGCTAAACACTGAGCATGCTGACGAACGATGGGTGCGTTGAGCAGTAAAATAATGCACAATCCTTACACTTCTTTGAAACAAGTCTACTTGTGCGTCTTGGTCCTCGTGGTGGAAGGAGTAGCGTTGACATGTGAATCCGTACTTCCTCTGTTCAATGCAGATCAGGTATCAATAAAGTGTGTCAGCTGCTCCCTCTTCCTCCTTCCCTTCCTCTTCGTCGCTCACCTCTCCTCCACTTTCTTCACCTACTTCATCTCCCATGTCCTCGCTTGGAGACGTGGTTACAAGCTGAGAATATCCATCGTTGAGGCATCATTTCGTGATATAGAGTAGAAAATGGAACTGGTGACCGTTTGATGGGTATTTGCTGTACTTCCTGACCGAGACGCACAAGGAAAGTGAAGAAAAGAGACATTACATAAGTGAGCAGAGAATGGGGAACCGCGTGTTTCGGTGTTGACTTCCTTCCGCTATTCTTTCATCGCAAGACTTTCTACTTTTTGCTTCTGCCTGAGGCAGTACTCTATTTTTGATCGTTGACTGTCAGCTGTCTGGTTGTACTAGCTTATGACTTATTGAGTTGCATGACCTCGCAAACTCAAACCGACTGACGATGTTGAGAATGTTCATTGTCACCAAAACACCAAATTTACGTTCCAAATCGTGAGTAGCCCTGCATTTGATTCTTACTGGATAATTTAAAGACAGTTGTTTTGTTGTGACGCCAACAAGAGTATTTGTTGTGGCGATTGTGCTCTTACAATGAGTTGATATGAAAATGCATGGCAGTGACCAGTTGAATCCTACGTTTGAAGTAGACGCGACCATCTTGACGGAAGCAGAAAAGGCAGCGAGATTTGATTAGCTCATTACTCAAGAGCATTTAAAGAAGGTCGAACAAATTTAGTGGTGTAGTGGCGACAGGTAAAGAGACAAGGGACATTGCGCCGGATGAGTGAC